ACCCAAATAAAATAATTTGAAAAAAAAAAAAAACCAAACCCCAAAACCCACAACAAAAAAACAAAACAGGCCTTACCTTTGTACCGATTATACAATTGTTCTAATTTCTTCCTGTCTACTGAATTTTTCATGGATTCTTTGTAGTACAAATCTGGATTCTGGAAGTAGTTGTCTGTTGCCACTTCTAGCTTCCATTCATTCTGCATTAAGCAGTATATAGCAGTCCTTTCACCAGCCTGGGTAAATGCCATAAACTGGCGGACCTTGTCCTTCTGAGACGATTTAAGCTTATGCTTTGGGATGCAAAAGAAGCAGGAAAGCCAATGAAGCTAATCCAGAAGTTTGTTTCAGCACTCTACTACTATACGCCTATCTTTAAAAGGTTTTAGTTTTCTTGTGGATGACAACTTTCACTTCAGAATTACAGGAAGACAAAGCCTTGTTCTTCTGCAGTTAAAAAGACAGCATTTTTTTTCTGAAAATTGAAACGACAGCATCTATATATACATTTTTAGCAGCACACAATCTGGCAGTAATAAATTTGTATTTCTGCTATATTCCTGACATATGCCCAAGTTTTTCTGTTCTGTAACAGCAGCAAACGCAAGTTTCATCATATAACAATATGGTTATCTTCTGAAAATATGCCTAGTGGTTATACAAAGAAGAACTTACAAAGGCAGAATTTATAGATTCTCAGATTCTGCATGAGTCCTTCGTACACATAGAAAAACTACTCAACAGTTTGCCTAATATTTTCCTAGCCACAACGAACAATGCAAAGTTTAATCATTTTACGTGATGAGCTGAAAAGGGCAGAAGCATTTCTCGCATTTTTATGTTAGAAACCATTGCCAAGAGAAGACATAAGACAAAAAGAAAACAGATAAAGCAGACAGGTCAGAGACCTGCCGAATGTTACAAGAGACTGTAAAGTTGCTGTAAACGTGATCTAAAATTTCAATTCACCTTGAAAAATATGTCTGTGCTATAAATATGTTAAACAACAAAACTGCCTATTACAGTGGTATACAGGAACTGGTGAGATGTTTCTCTTAATGGCAGCTAATTACAGCAACCGTATCTACACAACATCCCTAAACTTCTGCAAAACCTAAGAGGTGGGAACAGGGATTTTATAGGGAGCAAATTTGCTATTAATGTAGCTCAACACTATTCTTTACATTCATTTGGAAGAAGGAGGAGGTAGCTTAAATCAAACTCTGTTTTTTATTCTCATACTTTCCGATTTTGTTAGACCATACTTAATACATGTTCTGGGCCAACAATTAAGCTGAGAAATTTGTCCAGGTGCCTCACTACTGCTTAAAATCATCAGGTATAATAGACAATTTACTGATCTCTTAAATATCAGGGGGAAAAAACTGAATCCTGATTCGGCGAGCAGTAAGCAGTAAACATGGGACCATCTTTCAGTTTACTTCTTATCTCTTGCACACATATAGATGCACATACGCATGCACAGATGGCTGCCACATCTCGGGTATACACATGGTCCTGGGACAAGAAACACACCGTGTAAACAAGATAACGACTCTGGCCTTCCCTACAAGGTTTTTCAATTTTATGCAAGACGAAACACGTAAAGTGGGAAAAGAGCTGCAAAAATACCTACCATGTAATTTGTTAAGAAAATAATAATCCTTTCAGGGCAAGCTCTGTGTGACCTCCCCCCCACCCCAATTCTCATTAAGGCCTTAACTATGAGCGTCTCTCTGCACTAAGGTCTTCCTCAGTTATATAAACTTCTTTTCAGCACCCAACTTAGCGACGGTCACTTCAAAACAGCGGTCTCCGGCAACAATTCCAAAGCAAAACCCGCGCCCTCTCCTCCGTCTGCTTACGCCGGGCATTTAGGGATATTTTTTTTCTAGGTTCAAGACGAAACACCGAGTTATTTGAAGAAATCGGAGACAAGAAACTCCTTCGATTACCCAACCTACTGCTCTGCCACGCAGTATAGCATCGCCCGTGCATGCCTGTTCAATGCCCTGCGCAGCAGCCGCCAGTGGCACCTATATGCTCTCTATAGGGCCGGGGGGGAAAGGTCTGGCAGCCGTGTTCTCTAGCGTGACTGCTCACTAGCGGAACCCAAGCGAGCCGGTGTGACCGCGCCCCGGAGAGACGATTCGGTCAGGTTTGAAGGGAACCCCCTCAAAACGCCGGTCGCATCCTACCGCAAATCCCGAGGGAGCGCTGAAGTTGCAAACGCGCAGGCTGCGGCGGGGGCACCGCGCCAGCCCTTCCCCCGGGCAGACGGGGGTTCCCGCGTCGCGGGG